GTGAGTGTAAAGCTGGCAGGATATTTCAGACGACAAAAGAACTGAACTAAGCTGAACCTCCGCCGAACACAGACTTTAAAAGAGCTCTGACTCCTGTCAGGAGGAGGAGGAGGTCTCAGAATGAACAACACGATGATGAGAAAAATCTGTCTTGTTTAGGCGAAATGAATTTTGGGTAACACTTTCTATGAATGTCACCTTTGTAAACATCTATAAACACGTTTATAACATGTTATAATGTATTCATAAGGCATTATAAACATGGTTATAAATAGTTATAAAAAAGAATTACACTGATTTACACTTTATTGCCATGTTTATTATACATTATGAATTGTTAATATAATGCATTAAAAATAGTGTTAATAACATGTTATAATGTCAGTGCCAAAGAAGTCAGTCCCAGCTTGGAGAGCGTAAAGTAAAGACAAATACCAAGCTAACGGTGGTGAACATTACCTTTCCCACATTGGGTAAAACACTGATGCAGCTCTAGTTTAAACTCTGATATTTGAAGCCTGTAATGTGCTTTACTGTGAATGTTTTAGTGTTTCAGTAAATCCTTCAGTAAATACTTCAACTTCACTCTGAACACTGGAGGAGGCTTTAGTACAGTACGCTTCACTTTACTTAGAGCGGACAAATACCACTTATGAGCTCTTATAATTTGTTATGATCAGTACTTATGATGTATTATGTTAACAATTCATAATGCATAATAAACATGGCTATAATGTGTAATGCATTTTTATAAATATTTATAGATGTTTATAATGTCTTATGAATGCATTATAACATGTTATGAAAGTGTTTATAGATGTTTACAAAGGTGACATTCATAGCAAGTGTTACCGAGTTTTGCTTTAAATCGTAGTCAAGATTAGAATAAACAGGTCTAATCAGTGGGAGGGCTCAGGACAAACGAGGTGGAGATTAAGATCAATCACAGACAAGTGGGAGGTCTCAGAACTAAGGAGACGGTAATTAGGAGCAATCACAGTCAGGGGGAGGTCTCAGAACAAACGAGACGGTGATTAGGACCAATCACACTCAGGGGGAGGTCTCAGGGCATACGAGGCGGTGATTAGGACCAATCACAGTCAGGGGGAGGTCTCAGAACAAACGAGACGGTGATTAGGACCAATCACACTCAGGGGGAGGTCTCAGGGATACAGGCGGTATGACCAATCACGTCAGGGGGAGTCTAGCAAACGAGACGGTGATTAGGACCAATCACAGTCGGGGGAGTGTGGTTGCGCCCGCCCCCCGGGCCCCGCCTTCCTGCCGGCTCTCGCGGCCGTCATCATCAGGGCCCGGGGGGCGGGCGCATGCCACAGGGAGGTCTTAAACGAGACCGTATTTAGGACCAGTTATAATCAGGGGGGGTCTTAAAGCAAAGGAGACTGTAATTAAGATCAGTGGCAGTCAGGAAGGATCTAAGAACAAACATGGTCGTGATTAGGATCAATAAGAGTGAGGGGGGAGGTCTCAGAACAAATGAGGACCGGTCACAGTCGGGGGAGGTCTCAGAACAAATGAGGACCGGTCACAGTCGGGGGAGGTCTCAGAACAAATGAGGACCGGTCACAGTCGGGGGAGGTCTCAGAACAAATGAGGACCGGTCACAGTCGGGGGAGGTCTCAGAACAAATGAGGACCAATCACAGTCGGGGGGGGGTCTCAGAACACAAACGAGAGGGTAATTAGGACCAATCACAGTCAGTGTGGTACGAGAACAAACAAGGACCCATTACAGTCAGGGGGAGGGCTCAGAATAAACAAGTTGACAAATAGGACCAATCGCAGTTAAGGGGAGGTCTCAAGAAAGAATGATTAAGATCAGTGGTGGTGATTAGAATGTGTGATTAGCAGCTGTGTGAACTGGTCTGTGGTGTTTTCCTTTGAAGTAAACTGCCTGCAGAAGCTCAGGAAAGCTGTCCAGGCCCAGAGCACAGCGTTTTGTTTGTTTGTTTGTTTGTTTGTTTGTCTGTGTTTTCGTGGTGTAGTCAGGACTCTGAAGGAGTCTCAGCGGTGGCGTTGGTGGCGTTGGTGGCATGGTTTGATGGAATGCGGCGGCGTCCTGCTCTACATGCCTGTGTCTCTGAGTTGATACACGCTTTGTTTACAGCTCCCAGCGTTTCTGTAGCTGTTTTGTTGTTTTTGTTGCGTCTCTTTTTTCCTACGACATGTTTCCGCTTGTCAGCGCTCTGCGTTGGAGGATCTGCTCCTAAAAGCTTTTTCAGACTTCAGACTTCGTCTGATGCTCAGAGTTGGACTCGTTTTTGGACGTTGTTTAACCTGCCAGACCAAAAAAACACGAGGCTGATGGTGAATATACCAAATACTGACTGTTTATTAGTGAAACTCACTAATTTAGTTGTATCAAATAACATCGTTTACTTTAATTAAACATTGTCAATCCTTATTACAGGTGGATACGACGTCTACACTCTTAAAAAAGATGGTCCTCCAAGAGTTCTTTAGTAAAGAAAATGGTTCTATATAGAAATATGAACAGCAAAAGAACCTTTTGCATGCTTAAATGGTTCTTCGGATTGATGGAGAATGTGTTGTACATGGTTCTTTATAGCACCGAAAAGGGTCCTGTAATTGTAACAAGCTTGACATTGTCACAGAAGAACCTTTTCGGTGAAACTTTAGTGGATTTAGTGTCAAATATTGAATAAAAATTATTGTATTTATCAGCTTTTTATAGTATGTAGTAAATGTAGCTCTGCTGGCTCTTTTTTCTCTGTTCCAGCTGATCAGACGTCTGAGAAAATAAGTATTGTGACATTTATTGTGTATCGTGAAAATTTCTTGGAGTATCGCAATATTATGTTTTTGCCGTATCGCCCACTGCTTAGATTTGTTACAGAATCAGATCAGATTTGTTCTTTTTCTCCTCTGATATCTGATCCAGCGTTTTCTGCTCATGTCAGTCCGATAATGATGCCTGGTTTCAGATCGCTGTCATCTCTAATCTGTCATCACTCCACTCCACTACTGATGCTGGTTATAGATGAGGAGATGGTCAATATTGAGCGAAGGTGTTGACAGGAATGATCATGTGTTGAACAGTGTTTCTACACGCATGGAGTAGATTCCAGGATACACTACACGACTTTTGAAGCCTTAACAGGTTATAAACAGGTTATAAACAGACTGGGTGTCTCACACCGTCACACTGGACTCTGCAGGTTTTCTGAAATATTGGGGATCCACACTGAACAACTTGGGATCACGCGTGTTCCCCTGTTAATAGGAGACACAGATAAGTAAACGTGGAGCTGCTGCTGCTGTTTTCTCTGCCGTTTGCGCTGAAACAGTAAAGAAGCAGCAGGTAAACATGTTTAAGTGGATCATGGACTTAAAGATGTGGTCAGTGTGGAGTTTTTAGAGTTTTAAATGTACATAAACTCGATTGTGCCTTAAACTCAGCTCATTAAAAGCTTCGCTCCACACGTGAGAGACTTTCACCATTTTCTTTGTTTACTTGCTGTTTTGTTTTTCTTTAACTCTCAGTTTTCATTGGCTGTTGGAGGAGCCTGTTCAGATTGAGTCTCTGGCCAGTTTACAGATTAGATTTAGATTACACTCAGAGTCGGGACGAAAAAATGAAACGTTTGATAAACTCTGCCTGGACTGAAACACGATCGGGAATCTGACTCACTACTCGACTCTCTCTCCAACTGTCGACTCTGACTGACTCAAATAATCTGCAGACTAGAGTCGACCGGCTCAGACTCAGACTGAGAGTCGGGGATAAAATCAGGGTTAAGGTCTGAACAGAGATTGGACTGAACCCATCGAGTTCAGAACCCACCAGTCTAATTACATCCGGACTACAGCTGGAGTTCAGAGTCTACACTCACCGCCTGCTCCAGTACAGCTTAACTGACTCACAGCATCCACATCTGGGCAAATATTGACACTCGGGTCTCTGTCGGCTGTGCATTCAGACACGTTTAACACGAACTGCTTCATATTTTCATCTCAGTAAGAAAAAGTAGATTAATCACATCATAATAATAGTATATTAATGATTGAGCATTTGTTTCAGTTTGAACATGTAAAATGGGTGAGAATGAATGCAGTTTTTAAAATGAGTAGTTTTATCAAAAGTAGTTTTATTCTTTTTCTTTTTTAAGACTTTTTACCCCAACGAAAGGTTAGATAACTGATAACTGAGATGATATTTTTGTTAAACTACAGATATTTTTCATTATTTTGTGCTCATGGATGTCAATCATTCTGGGGAGCCTTGCACATTGGTTTTTTGTTTGGAACCCATTTTTAGTTTTAAAACCACTGAATCATTATTTTTTATTTCTAATTTTAATATTCATACCCTAGAAATGTCTTGGACAGATATTCAGGTTACACAACAAAAATAAACCCAAGAACTTCAGCCTAATTAGATGCAGGGCTGTGGGCTCAGTGTCAAGTTCAGTATCAGAAATATGTGAACACGATTTAAAAACATGCTTTATCATCATTAAAATGGGTGATCAGTCAGTTCAGTGTGAGGCCGCAGACGCACTGAGTACGTCCTGAGATGATTACAGTCGGTACAGAATGTTCCTCTGAGTCCAGCGACCTCGACGGCCGAGAGCGGCTGAGCTCCGTTATCGGCTCTGGGTCTGATGTTTCTGAGTGTTTTCATCATTTGATAAACACACAGACGTCGTCGGCGCTGCAGGACGTTCTGCCTCTGCTGTTCTGCGCATTGTGTTTTTAGGCTCTGTCAGACCTGCAGGGGAGAAGTTGTTGGGTGTTGAATCTCCTCTTGATGAACAGATTATAAATCTGGTGTCTGATGGTCTTCAGAGAAATTGTGGCTGATATTTTGACTGTTGTGCTCCTGATCAAACTGTCTGAGTCTCATTTTCTGCAGTGCCACTTTTGACCATTTTCAGCAGCCAGAATTTCTTATTCCGTGCATTTTTTCCATCTTCTTGTGGTGATGATGATGATGATGATGATAACTGAATAGTGAAT